ATTTGCGAAATATTTCGGATTTCTTGCATCACGAAAATTCTTTCGAAAGATTTCACCATTTAAATTTGCTGATGTACTATAATAGGTTATTTACAAATATATGATGATTTGTTATCCTGTAATAATATCGAACCATCATCCTTATATTCAGGAAAAAAGTTTGCTACTTGGGAATTGTGTGAATCTTTCCTCAATGAATGGGTGAAGTTTCAAGGCTTTCGTATAATTAAAGATCATGTTCAGCGTGATAATGGTATTGTACAATGAAGGATTTTTATATGTGATCATAGCCGTGCTTATGAATCGAATTCAATGAAAGATACAAATACAAAAAAAACACAATGCCCTTTTCTAATTAATACATCATACCCTAAAATTAATAATCCTGAAAACTCGATAATTGTTAATAAAATTGTTGAAAAGCATAATCACTTATTGAATCCAAAAAGAATAGAATTTGAGGATAACAAGAAATTTATTGACGCGATGTTAGAAGATGTGAGATTTATGACTGTATTCTGCAAATTTGGAGCTATATCTCAATGAAAATTTCTTGAAGGAAAATATCCTACACAACTGATTTATTCGAAAGATTTATATGCAGCTATACAAAAATTTAGACCTAATAGTAAAACGTTATCCAATGATGCTGCAAAGGTAAATTTATAACATGAGTTGTAAAAAGTATTTAGTTTTACTTGCATTCTTTTACTGGTACATTAAGTTCATAATATTATTGTACTAAAGTATTAGTAAAATAATTGTTAAAGTAATCTATGTCAATAAATTATGACCTAACAAGAATTATTTTTAGGTCTCAAATTGGTTTGATCAAAAGAATGATATAGATTCATATTGAGTTGTTGTCCGAGACTAGAATAATAATAATACTTTAACTCACCTACTTTGGATGACACCAACGCAAGTGGAAAACTAGATCTTATATTCTGATTGTGTTTTGAATGATGTAACACACAAAACCAATTGATATGATATAGCCTTGTCACTATTTGTCAGATTCAATAATAACAGGCAAAATATTTTATTAGCACAAACACTTTTAATTGATGAAAGTTTCGAATCGTATTCGTAAATGTTTCAACAAATTATTAAAGCTACTAAAGTCTATTCTTCTGTAATACTAACTGATGCAGATCTAGCTATTAACTCTGCAATCTGTCAAATATTTGTTTCAACATATCCTATACATTGTGCTTACTATATTATGCAAAACTTATATAAAAATTTTAGAAAAAAATTAGGAGAAACTTATTAATGTTTTCTTAATGATTTTTATCATTGTCAGAATAGTTTATCTAAGAATGCTTTTGAACAATACTTTAATAAGCTCATACAAGATTTTCCTAACGCTAAAAGTTACTTGGAATTCTTTTACAAATTAAAAGATCATTGAGCAATTGTTTTATCCAATACAAATTTACAGGAGGTATGATCGCTATATCCCGTGTTGAATCAGTAAATAGATGCTTAAAAAATTTGTTATATAATTCCAATATGTTATTATGTGAACTTGCATTAGAAATACATAGACTACTTAATTTTCAAGACATAGAAAATAAATATAGGTATTATTAAGAAAATAATATTAATTGAGGCCTGTAATATTAAATAACAATAATTTATATTTTGAATATAGATTTTGGCATACAGCAATACCAAATACTCAGAATCAAGATAAAGTAAATATTTTGTTTACTGAGGTTGATCGATGTCTCTAATGATATCTTAAATCTAATATTTTAAAGATGTTACATGATCAAATGAATTAATCAGTATATTATACTGCTAATAGAATTTCTCATCAAGATATGGAGAGTAATGAAGAGGTAATCAATGATTTTTTTTTTTTTTTTTTGTAACACTGTTTTAATTTTAATGTGATTATAGGCAAATCGATTATTAGATATTCAAGAAGATTCTGTTGATGAACTACAAGCTACACTTAACCAAATGATTGAATTTGTTGGATCACATAATATTAAAGAAATTTGGGTGATTACTGTTGGAAATTCATTAAAAATTAAGCATCATATTTTGATGCTACAAAATAATTCATATTTATGTTTCTGCCTTTCTATTATTCAATATAGTATCGTATAAAGGCATTACTTTCAATTGATATTAATAACATGTAATGCAATGTTTCATATTAGAATATTGCCCTCATGATAGTACTCAACTAATAATATTGGATCAGAAGAACTGTTTTTAACCCTTAGATTATAAGCTAACACAGTCAAATTTGTCTGCGTTTTTATATTTATTCAGCTCTAATTTACTTTTTTAAAATGCAAAAATATTAAAAAAATAATTATAGATAATAAAATTTGAAAA